CTCCTCCCTTTTCCTCTCCTCTCTACCCAGCACCCACGCCCCTGTCTCTCCGTCTGTGTCCTGTTGCTCAGTCTCAGTAACTCCTCTCTCCTCCAGGCTTCCATTGAAAAGGAGGGTGTCACTTTGGTTGCCATTCTCTGCACCCACAAGCACTGGTAAGGGGCTGCAGTGGGGGGTCTGGGTGCACATGCTTTCCCCTAGCTGTCCCTTGCTCTGGCTGATCTTGCTAGTTCTGAGCTCTGTAAGGTCAGGCTGGGCTGGGTGGGGGTCAGGACGTCAGGATGGGAGCCACCCACTTTCCTCATGAAGTACTAGCAGAGAGGGAGGGGAGGGATGGGCCTTCCACTGCTCCACTTATCAGCCCCAGAGGAGGGCAGGGCAGGCATTTATCTCTCATCCCATGGGCATTTATTACATGCCTGTTGTGCACTGGACATGACAGACCTTGTGATCTCTTCTCTTAAGAAGATTATAGTCCAATAGGGGACACAGCCCTGCAAGACAGTATACAACAATGACAAACTGTGACAACTGAGGCATTTGGCACAGGGTACAAGGGGTGGTGGACATCAGGTGGGGCATAATCAGATTCACTTGGAAGAATTAGAGGTTGATGACCCTGGAGCTGAGAAAGTCCAGGAAGATCAGATGGCATTGGCCAGATGATGGGGGGTGGCAAATTGGGGGGATGACATTCTGGGCAGGGAAACAGCTTGAACAAAGGCCCAGAGATGTGGACAGCTTGGCTCAGTCCAGAAGCCAGAGACATCCAGGGCTCATGGGCCTGGAGATGCCACAGGGAAGAGGGAGGCGAGGAAGCCCAGTGCAGTTGCCCCTCAAAACCCTTTCCCGTCTCTGCTGTCCCATAGGGACCACAGTGGAGGGAACCGTGACCTCAGTCGGCGGCACCAGGACTGTCGGGTGTACGGGAGCCCTCAGGATGGCATCCCGCACCTCACTCAGTAAGTCCCTGACCCAGGAGTGTGATGGCACTTCCATGGGCTCATCCCCCATCTTTCAGTCGACTATTTTAGGGGTATCAGCAGTTGGATCTTTGCTCATGCCCTTCCTGGCCCTTAGAGAGCAGATCACAGCCTGTTTGAAAACTGGCACTGCCCACCCCCCAACTGATCCAGCCATGGTCCCCAAAACAGGGAGAGGGGAGGGTTTGTATTTGAAGTCCTGGGCACTGGGGTGCCTTCTCTTTCTGGTGTGGAAACCCCGACTCCTGCAAATCACCCAGCCCCTTGGGCCTAGGGTAGGGCAGGACCAGGATGACGTAAGCTCTAGTACCTTCTCTTTCCTATTGCCTTGCTCCTCAGTCCCCTGTGTCATCAAGATGTGGTTAGCGTGGGACGGCTTCAGATCCGGGCTCTAGCCACCCCTGGCCACACACAAGGCCATCTGGTCTACCTGCTGGACGGGGAGCCCTACAAGGGTCCTTCCTGCCTCTTTTCAGGGGACCTGCTCTTCCTCTCTGGCTGTGGTGAGTTCCCCCAAAGGGAAGAGTGAGGATGAGGGATAGAGGGAGGGAGAGAGGCCAGGGCAGGGGCCTGAGGACTGCCACAGCACCACACAATGCGGTAAAGCACTGGTTTCCACACAGATGTTGCCTTGGCAGTTACTCTGATTTGGGGTAACAGTTATCTATGTTACCTCAACATTTCTTATATTCTCACAACTTCCCACAGGGCCGGGTAGAATGAGACAATGCCTGTAACTGAGTACAGACCTCACAGGGCATTTGTTTCCACTGGGTGGAGCCTGGTTCTTTGATACAGTGACTGGGGGACTAGGTTACAAAAACTTGAGAACCCCTGAGCAAGAGGATGATGCCACGGTTGTGGATCACAAGTCCCAGGCTGTATGGAGTCCCAAACACAGCACAAGCAAAGAAGGAAGTGCTCCGTGGAAAGGAGCAGCCCAACAGGACCATGTTTGGGGTTGTTAGAACCCAGCCTGGGGACTCAGCACCCCCTCTCCATCCACGTGTCAGTGTGTGCAGTGGGGGCCTTCAGAAGGGCTTGGTTGGGGGTGAATATTTGGGCCCAGCTCCCAAGGGAATGGCTGAGGGCTGGAGGCTCGAGATGTACAAGCTGGTTCCCGCCCCACTTCGCGTACCTTACATCCCACTGTGTTATCCTTGCATTTTATAACATACCCTGACCCCACCAGGACGGACCTTTGAGGGCACTGCAGAGACCATGCTGAGCTCGCTGGACACTGTGCTGGGGCTGGAAGATGACACTCTGCTGTGGCCTGGTGAGGTGCCCCCCTCTTCTGGCCCTTCATTCTCCTAGAGTCCCCCCAGACCCAGTTCCTGTCCCAGAGGTGACACAGCTCCACCTCTGGTGGCTCCCAGAGCCCACTGTAGCAGGGGGGCAGAGCTCCCTTCTTTTGGGGACACTGGCTCTGTAACTCTGCTTAGCCAGAGCCTAGGACGAAAAAATATCTTTGCTCATCAGAGAAGTCAGTACATCCAGTCTGTGTGTGTCCACTGACAGCACCCATATCCACACATTGTATGTCCAACCATCCATATGTACATATGTCCTTGCATGTCCATACAGAGATACGTGTGTACGTTGCATGTCCACAGTTTCTAAAACATTCTCTAATATCTCAGTTCATCCTCAGAATATCTCAGTTCATCCATTCATTCATACTTTCTCGAGCACCTAACATGTACCAGACTGTGTTCTAGGCACCAGAGACACACCCTTATTCTAGTGGCATTATTTTCTCCACTTGCCAAAGAAAACTGTGGCCCCAAAAGGTGCCATGACTTGACTGAGGTCGCAGAGGCAGTGGGGCTACAATGCGGTCTCCTGGCTGCAGGTCTGGTGGTGTCCCCGGAGTTGCTGCTGCCTCTTCACATATGGCTGACTTGTGCCCCCCTTTCCTGGGAAGTGCTGCCCCTCCTTCCCCCCGGGCATCCATACCATTGGCCTGGGCACAGAGAGGACTTTTTCTGGTCACACACCCATCTCTCTCTTTCCTGCCTTCCCGCCCCATGGGGGTCCCTAGGTCATGAGTATGCGGAGGAGAACCTGGGCTTTGCAGGTGTGGTGGAGCCTGAGAACCTGGCCCGGGAGAGGAAGATGCAGTGGGTGCAGAGGCAGCGGATGGAGCGCAAGAGCACGGTGAGTGCAGGGCTGGGGCCTGGGAGGGGCCCTGAGGGCGTTCCCCAGAGGGAGCCCTTCTAGCTGAGCCAGAGCCTCTGTGCCCCTCCTAGAGCTCTGGCACGTTTGCTTCCTGGGCCTTCCAGGAAGAACTGGACCCCAGGACGCGGGGCAGGGGGCGGGAGGCTTCCCTTGTTGGGTGCAGATGCTCCCCACCAAAGCCAGGTGCCTCTGTCCCACAGTGCCCATCCACCCTTGGAGAGGAGCGTTCCTACAACCCGTTCCTGAGGACCCATTGCCTGGTGCTGCAGGAGACTGTGGGGCCGGGCCCAGGGCCTGCTGAGGATGATGGCTACTCCCGGGCCCAGCTCCTGGAGAAGCTCCGCCGGCTGAAGGACCTGCACAAGAGCAAGTGACGCCCCCCAGCTCCCCTCAGCCCACCCACATGGTGGGGAGGCAACCCGTCGCCCACACACACTATACCCCTCATTGCTACCAACACCACCTCCATCAGCACCCACAGTGGGCATCATTCCCCGACACTGGTCGCCTGCACACGGGGAGAGGAGGGACAAGGCAGGGAGACCTCCTAGAACCAGAGAAAGAACTGCTCAAAGGCTTGGAGACTCCATGGAGCGAGGCTGAGCTGTCAAGGGTAACAGGAAAGGAGGGGCCTTAGGACAGCTCCAGACCTAACTGGGAAGGTCCCCTCCTCCCTTCCCCTGTTCCTGCGCTGGCAGTGAGCACATGGAGGCTGCGATGAGCCTCTCCCTCAGGAGGCTCCCTTTCACTGTAGCTCCTAACACCAGGGCAACAGGAGCCATGAACAGGTTGAGTCCATCTTCGCTCTTCTGCCATTCAGGGTTGGGAAAGAATCTGTCTCCCCGAGTGGCCTGAGGAGAGATGCCTTGGAAAAGTGGTCAGTCAGAGGGTTCCCAGGCTCTGGTTTACTGAGACACTGCCCCTCCTCCCCCAGCCTCCACACCCTTCCCCGCCCTGCCCCCACAAAGGCATTTTTCAAACGGAGCCATTTCTGAGAAAGATGAAAGGGCTGGGAGTCTGGCTGTCTGGCCAGTCTCTGCCTCAGTGACTTCCCTACAGCCTGGAAGGAGGGTCCTGGTTGCCAAGGAAACCTCGACCTCAGGCTGAGGAGACCTTGGAGGCTGCTAGATTGCTGCCCCACAGTCTTGTAGGTCACAAGGGCTCCCTGCACAGCTGGCCTGGTCCTGCCCACTGGCCTCTCCCCCTGCCCTGGACCAACAGGGTCCCTCCCTTCCAGCGGGGAGAGAGCCATCGTCTGCCAAGGCCACTGCACTTTTCTCATTCTGGCCCTTATTCCTGGGGACTTCTGCCTCCTCTCACTTCTGCTTTACCCTCACCCCCTTTCCTCTTTGCTATTAAGGACATTCACCTAGCCCCTTGCAGTTTTCCAAGAACATTCTGTGTCATTTCTCATTCGATCCTTGGCCCCCTCCTGGCTGGGGGAGGGGCTCTGAGGCAGAGTTCAGAAATCAGAAGCCTGGGAGCAGAGACCTCTCAAGGGAGCCGCAGCTTCCAGGAGCCCTGGCCTGGGCCCTTTCCCTCTGCTCGGCCCTCCCTCAGCTCGGCTTCTCCTCTGGTCTCGGGTCCAGGTCCCTTCGGGGCTATAGTGAGGAACCCTATGGTCCTCAGGCAGGTGTACCTTGGGTCAGCCAGGGGCCTACTCCTCCTTCGAAGAGCAGCTTTTCCTCAGGCCCCGCTCACCTCTGGCGAGCCTCCAGATGCCCCCTGCCCTCACTCTCTCACCATCCGGCCTCTGCCTCCCTCTCCAGCCACAGCCTCTGGTCCCACTCTAGCAATACTCCTAGAATAGTTAGAGTTCCCCGCACCCCAAGACATGCAGTTTCCTGCCTCTGTGCCTTCGCTCGTGCTGTTTCTTCAGACTGGAATGCCTTTCCCTGCTCCTCCTGCCTTGTCTGCCTGGCAAACACCTGTTCATCCTTCACAATCCCCCTCCAAGGCCCCCTCCTCCAGGAAGACAACCCCCATGCGTCTCCCCCTCCAGGCTACCTCTGCTCTTTGTAAATGCTTCTCTGTGGCACTTATCACTCTGTATTTTACTTGTTTACATGTTTGTCTCCCCTTCCAGACTGTGAACCCTTCAGGGCATGGACTGTATCTTATGCATCTCTGTATTTCTGCGCCTAGCACGGTGCCTGGCACACAGTAGGCGCTCAATAAATGTTAAATGAATGAATGATTTAAGAGAGTCGTGATCACTCAGTGGGCTTGTCTTTGTTGCTGGTTCTGTTTTCCTTCCTGGGTTATAGGTCCACCAGCTTGGAGTTACTATACTATAAGAGCTTTGGCCAGAAACAAAGCCCTGAACATACCCTCCCGTGGCTCGGGTGCATTTGTTCAGGGCTTACAATGTGCTTACCTCAGTGTTTCCCAAAGCTTGAGAGGCACAGGTGCACCCTGGCCACAAGGGAGATGGTTTCTCATGGTCCCAGCACAGCAGTTGAAAGCACTACAAGGGCAAGGCCTCACCCTCTCTAAGAGCCAGGCATCACTGTCTAGAGATAAATTTTAACAATATTGTTTTTGTTTTCATTGTATTTATCTTTGGAGTCAATATTTTTGACAAGTGACACCACTTTTCAACTCAGGGAAGTAATTAAAGATATTTATTAAAACAGGAAAGTAAGAAGCAACGGTGACACTTGGCTATGGCAGAATTCTTGAAGGTGGCCCTGGTATGGCTGAAGACAAGCACTGGCTTAGCTTCACATTTCCCTGGGGCCAGCTCAAAGCATGGTTTTCCCACCCCTGGCCATACCTCTGCCTCCTCTCTTAGGCACGCCTCACCCCAGGTCGGGGACCTTGGAACTGGCCCAGGCTGTCCTGGATCAGGGCCGTACCTGGGGTGGGGTAGGAAAAGGGGCCATGGTCGTCACCTTCCTGAAGAAGGGCAGTTGGCTGTGCTCTGTGATTGTTTCTGTGTCACTGCTGTCTTGAATGGGCAAGTCCCAGGGCCAGGTCCCTCTGGGTATGTCCAGCTTCAAGGGGCCCTGGGTGATGGTTCTCTGAAGCTGGTGACACATCTTCCCAGGGCCTTGGGTGATCCTCCCACCACTGCATCTGTCCTGAGTGATGGCACATGCTTCTCCCAGAGCTGCAACTGACCAGTAGCAACCAGGCCACTTGCTCCTTGCTTGCAGGATGGCAGGTGTCACTGGCCTTAGAGACCTGGGTTCTAATCGCATCTCTGTCACTCAACATCCAAGTGACCTTGGATAAATCACTTCCCTGGCCTCGGTTTCTTCAACTTCCAATGGAGATGACAAGTTTGAGAGAGTCAGAACCCTTTCAGGTGCAAGTGACAAGTACTCAACAGAAAGGAGCTTAGACCCAAATGGGACATTGATCAGCTCATGAAACTGAGAAGTGTGAGATTATGCGATGGTGAGTTCAGGCAATGAGATGAGCATGAACAGCACCGTCATCTGTCAGATCTGCTTTCCTCTGTATTGATATTGTTCTCTGCCAGGCTTTCTCTCTGCAGTGGAAAGATGGTCTCCAGAAGTTCCACTCTACTGGCCCATCTAACCTCGCAGAACCTCCTAGAGTCCCAGAGACTGAGTTTCATTGCCCAGTTTGGGTCATGTGCCCAACCCTGAGGGGTTAGGTATGTGGATCTCTCAGGCTGCCAGAAGGTCAGTGTCAGACCCAACTGAAACACAGTGCACTGAGAGTAGGGAAAGAGTCCCCCAAAGGACTAAGGAGTCTGATACCAGAAATGATTCAAGGCAGCAAAATCATAACCCTTCACTAACAATTCCACTTACTATGAAGAAAGCCCAATGAGAAAAGGCGTTTGAAGTCACTTTGGAAAATGCTACATCAGATTTTTGGTGCTATAATTAACTATAGAGAAGAAATGGAGGTAGACATATGGCCTCCAAGGTGTTTGAATAATAGGTAGTTTTAAAAATAATCAGCAAGCAGTTCATTTTTTTCTTTGGTTTTCCTGACAAAGGAGAAGGAGAGTGGAGAGCTAAGTGGGCAGCATTCCAGGGAAAAACAGAGAACAGGGGAAGTTGTAGGCATGAACATGTAGACATGAAGAGGCCTGTGTGTGCATGTATGTGTTGGGGGTGGTCTTAGTCCTCCAAGGCCTTGGCCACAATTGGAGTAATTGAAAGCAGGTGGAAACCTAACCCTGCAAGTCAGTAAACCCCAGGCTCCAGCAAAGGCTGGACAGGTTGGTAGAAAGAAAACAGATTTCGCCTGGCCAGGCGTGGCTCAGCGGTTGAGCGTCGACCTGGGATCCAGGTGATCAGGGTTCAATTCCCAGTTAGGGTACATGCCCGGGTTGCAGGCTCGATCAATGACTTCCTCATCATTGATGTTTCTATCTCTCTCTCTCCCTCTCCTTTCCTCTCTCTGAAATCAATAAAGATATATTTTTAAAAAAAGAAAAGAAAACGGACTTGGAGTTGGACTGGTCCTGATACTAATACAGGTTCTGCCTCTGGTTGGCTGTGGGTTACACCAGACAGGTGATTCATAACCCTGGGCTCATTCTGCAGGGCCTGGGAGAACTGAATGAGATGCAGTGTTGTCAGTCAACAGCAGTCTCTCTCTCCTGGTACTGTTATTAATGAACTTGGAGCTAGTCCATCAGGGAAAATAAAACAAAGTGGTTGAGAACAGGGACTCTGGAGCCAGCCCACCTGGGTTGAAATCCACACATTACATTTATTAACTGGATGACCTTAGGTAAGTTACTTAACCTTCCTGTGCCTCCGTTTCTCATCTGTCCAATGGGGATGATGCTGGCACCACCTTAGAAGTGACTGTGTGGATTAAATGAGTTAATATCTGCAGAGTTTGGCACGTCATGAGCCCTCTCTATTAGTGGTTGTTGTTCAGTCGATGCCCACCCTAGTGGCTGGGAGAGCACAGGCTGTCCATGCCACAGGCTCAGACAGGCCAACCTGCCCAAAGCAGACAAATTGCTAGTATGTCAACCCACTTCAGAGCGTCCTTTCCAAAGCTATTAGACTCTAAGAGGACAGTAGCAAAGGTTCCTGATAGCTCTCTTTCCAGAGGGTCAAAAAGTAGACAACAAACTGATGTTGATTCTCTGTGAGTCACTCTGCCAAATTGCTTTCTCCCCCAGCAGCAAGTGGGAGGAAATGGGGGAGGGGGGAGAGAGTTGAGAAAACAGGTTCCCGGGAGGTGGCTAGAGGGGCCTGACCAAGAAGAGGTGAATGGATGAGGGGAGCTCTGAAGGGAGATGGGCAGGGGACAATAAGAGGGGAACTGCATGAGCCCCCCTTAAAGAGCATCTAGACCACAATTTGCTCTTTTTATTTTAAACTTTGTCTTAATAATCAAAAAGACTGTCAAACTTTTTGTAATTCACATATGACAGCAGTAGAGTTTGGGTTTTTTTAGATTTTATTTAAATCCTCTATTCTTTATTAACAACTTTAAGATATAATTGACATAAAACACAAAATTCACCCTTTTAAAGTACATGATTCAGTGGTTTTTAGTAGAGGCACAGTTTTCCGGCCATCACCGCCATCTAATTTTAGAACATTTATACCATTCCAGATAGAAACCCTGTGCCCATTTGATGTTGCTCCCTGCCTCCACCTCCCCCACACACCCCCAGCTAGACAACCACTGATCCACTTTCTGTCTCTAGATTTGCCTATCCTGGACCTGTCATGTAAATAGAATCATGCAATGTGTGGTCTTCTGGGACTGGCTTCTTTCCCTCAACTTGTTTTCAAGGTTCATCCACGCTGTAGCATGTATCAGTACTTTACTCCTTCTATGGCTGAATAATATTCCACAGCATTTATACACCACACTTTGCTTATCCATCCATCAGATGATGGGCAATTGGGTTGTTCTCACTTTTTAACTATTATGAATAATGGTGCTATGAACATCTGTGTACAAGTTTTTGCATAGACAGATGTTTTCACTTCTCTTGGGTATGTACCTAGGAGAGGAATTGCTAAGTCATGCAGTAACTCCACGTTTAACTTTTTGAGGAACTAATAAACTGCTTTCCAAAGCAACTGTGAATTTTCCTAATGCCACTGGAGTCACATGCAGAGAAAGGCTTATTCATAATTCACTTTGACTTTTAAAAATTAATACTTAATTTCTTAAAGTGCAAATTTTAAACATGAGCATTTCAAAAACTTAAGTTCAACTTACCAGTCATATCATTCTAATCATAAATCTAGTGAATATGAATAACTTCTAAGGGGGCTTTGATTACTAATTGGTCTTTTTAAAATTAAAACCTTAGGCAGTTTGTATTGTACTTACTCATCCTATATATAAGTAGATTACCATATTTCTTTCTTTCTTTTTTTTTTTTTAAAGTAATTGATTGGGCCCTAGCTGGTTTTCTCAGTAGTTAGAGTGTCGGCCCGCAGACTGAAGAGTCCTGGGTTTGATTCAGGCCAAGGACATGAACCTCAGTTGCAGGCTCAATCCCGGCCCCAGTTAGTTCATGAGCAGGAGGCAACCAGTCGATGTGTCTCTTTCACATTGATGTTTCTCTCTCTCTCTCTTCCCCTCTTCCACTCTCTCTGAAAAGCAATGGAAAATATATCCTGGGTGAGGATAGAAGAAAAAAAAGTAATTGATTGTTATATATCAATTACATGTTAATAAAGCTGGAAAAAATTAAGTAAAATAAAAAGAACTCAGTTCTCTTTAAAACATTTTTAAAATAAAGCAATTGACTGACAAACCAACCTCCTGAGTACTTTTACTGCAATCTAATAAATAAACATATATAGTAAGTTTGAAGATTTTTTTGTTTTAATGTTTTTATAATCCCAGTAAGAATTTAACTTCAAAGAACAGTCTAAATCAACTATTCAACTGTCTGATTTAAATTAGAATCTCCAGGCTTATCTCTTAGGCATCCCACCATGCCAAATTATTTTAAACATTTCAAATACTTGAAATACCAAATATTCACAATGTTATACACAAAAAAAAACCCATTAACACTGTTAGTTTGATTCTCTTAAGCAGTTCCACACATAATTCTAAATTTTCCTGAAGTTGATAGATAATAATCCAGTAAAAAGCCATTTGAAAATTGCTTTCCCAAGTGATATG